TCAGGTTTAAACTTTGCAAAATTATAGTATAAATAAAGATAATGAAGAGAATATAGAATAAGGAGTTAATTAACACATTGGCTAATTTTTGGAAAACTGAATTTCTACGGCAATTTTCAGTGAGACCAACTTATATCACTATATATAAAGAAACTCAGGTATCATAGTAATGTAGCATATTTTAAATAGACCTCAAGTATCATATTATTATGCAGTATATTTTAAACAGATAATCAAATCGATTGAAATTCAATATTTCTGTCAATGCTGTGAATCAGCAAGTTTACAGAGCGAGGTGACTCAGTCACCACTTAATTAGACGCGGTGAAACTATAAAATCTGATATTCAGTATACGAGACACGTGAAATATTGGAATAAAACATCTTCGTACTTGCGATTTCCTTTCGAGTTTCAAAGAACATCATCCACGCCTCGTCGAAACATGTCGAATATTTCCAGTGAGAAACTCCCGAGTGCAAAGGGTTGACATCCTCCGACAGAGGTATTTAACGCGAAAGGCGAAGCAGAAGGCAGCGAAGAGAGGACGAAGAGGGTTGGAGCGGGGAGCCGAAGCGTGCGGGCAGAAGAGGCCCTCATTCGTCACGGCGAGGAGTTATTAGCCGTTAGTTATAGCCGGCGCGTGACACCGGAAGACTGCTGGTTAATTGAATCTATCCGTTTCTCCTCGGCGAACCACCTGTCGCATTTCCGATTCCTCCCCGAATACGTGCCTCGTTTGTTTCCACGCCGAAGAAAAATGCGGACGAACGTCGAACGCCGCTCGAGAGCGGAAAAACTGGGAACTGGCGAAGAAAGAAAGAAAGTTGTACGTAGAATATTCTACGCGTTAATTAACGAAATTACAATTTATTCGTGTACTTCGACCTTTGAGTTCTTCGTTGTTTATGGCAGCGCTTTCTTTTGTAATCTAAGTTTGATACATTTGGTTACTGTTCGCTGGTGACTTTCATCAATTTGTTAATTGCAGCTGATTATGGGTCACTGCTAAATCCTAGAAAGTCCAAACCCAAATTTCCCAGTTGCTAGTCGAAGACCTTCCGTTGAAGTTTCACCGGTGACTCCTAGAATTCGATTTCAACTTTGAAATAAGACGTTTAAACTTTAACCGTAGTATTCGCTGTTGAATACTACATTTCGAAGAAGCTAAGTTCCACGGTTAAACATTCGAGTCGGTCTTCTATTAAATATCCATATAATAACCTAACCTAATATCCGCGTAACATTAACACGCATGTGATAACTACCTATTGCAGTAAATTATATTTAATTAGCCTCCGCCATAAAGGCGTTATTGAATACCCACCTCTGGCCAAACTTTGTTTTGCTTTTATTTGTTCACTGTTGAATACTACATTTCGAAGAAGCTTCACGGTTAAACATTCGAGTCAATCTTCTATTAAACATCCATATAACACTTCTCTGCAACTCTTCAAATTCTCCCATAGATCGTAATTCTCGCTAATTCTACTCAACACAGAAACAAACGTCACAGTCCTTCACTGATCAGATAAAAAACCATCTCATGGAAAGCTGTTAAAAGCAGCAACCTCCCAAATCCTCCTCGAAACGATAAAATCAACTCACCAGTCCCGAGAGTGGCAAACAAATACAATCGCAATCCTCGCGACAGCGATAAGCCGAGTAGTTCTCGCTCGACGGACGCCGAGATTGAAACTGCGCCAAGATCGAGCCAAGAGAAAGAAAGCTGCTGGAAGCGAAGAGAACCGAGCGGCGACGCTCGTTCTCCTATTAAAGGCGTAATCGCGGCAAGAACGGCGCGCGATATTATGAACGGGCGGTCCCGGAGCGGATAAAATGGCAAAGGGCCGCGCGGCGAGCGAACGAGAGCGGCAGCTCTGTGATCAGGCGAGGAGAAGCTGGCGAAACACAGGGAGGAGGCAGCTGGGAAACTGGAAGCGGAGATCAAGATCCCATTACGCGAGGAACGGAACTTTACCGAAACTCCGGGGACCGCGAGTTTCAATTCCCTGGCCAATCGGCGACTCTGCGATCGGTCTTGTGCGCCGTAAAGATGGCGGCCGGACACCGGAGGACGCGAGCCGCGGCGGGACCCATTTTGTCGCTCCAGAGATTGGCTAAAGTAACTGCTTCTAGTTCGATTGTTATAATGGAAGACGAAGGTTCCGATGGTTTTATTGCTAATTTGTTCTGGGTTTTATCGTTGAATCTGATAGATTTTTGTTGGATCGTTGGAGTAGATGATTGCGTTGATTCTATTATTTCTCATTTGTTCTAGGTTTTATCGTTAAATTTGATAGATTTTTGTTGGATCGTTGGAGGGGAAGATGATTGCATTGATTCTATTACTTCTAATTTTCGGTTTCATCGTTAAGTTTTATGAATTTTTCATTGTAGTGGAACTGAATATTTAAATAGGCCTTGGACGAATCGATTTGAATCATTAAAATGGCAATTAGAAACTTCTCTGATGCGTCGTAAGAAAGAGAAATGATTCGTTTTCAAGGGAACATTGAATGTGAAGAATTGATGATTCTGTTAATTCTATTATTCCTAATTTCTGCATGGTTTCATCGTTAAGTTTAATGAACTTTTCATCGTAGTTGGAACTGAATATTTAAATAGGGCTTGGACGAATCGATTTGAATCATTGAACTGGCAATTAGAAACTTCTCCGATGCGTCGTAAGAAAAAGGAATGATTCCTTTTCAAAGAAACGTTGAATGTGAGAATCGATGATCCTATTAATTAAACGAGCGAAGGGTCGTAAGATAGAATGATTTACCAAAGAATGATGGGATTAATCCGTAGATCGGTAAATCGTAACTAGAACGCAAAGGGAGGCGAATTAGTATTTTTCCGGATATCGGTTAATTAGCGTTCACGCGCGGATCACGATTTCCACGCTCGACTGGGAACAGTATCAGCTTTCGCCTCCGCGGCGGCAAACTTCGCTCCTCCCGCGGAAGACGCTCGGCGCGTTTCGCCGCGGCGGCGATCGAAGTTACGCGTAATTCCGCGCGCGTCTTTTCTTCCTCTGCAGCAGGCGTTGCTAATTAAACTTGGCGCACGCCGAACCGCGGGCGAACGGAGATTATGATCCTTATCCGTCCTCCTCCCGCTCGGAATCAATCACGGACGCGCTTAATTGCGTCTTCCGGGGATGTTTCACATTACACAGTAAATACGTAACATATGAATGGCTCACTTGCCGAGTCGGTTAACTCTTTATGGATTTTCAATCTCCGCTTTTCGGATTTCTTTGTTAAAACGCGTCGTTGTCTCTCGACTTCTCATATTGGAAACAAACTTCTGCTTCGAAACTCGCGTCGACGTATGCAATTATAGTCGAGCGTGCCATTTTAAGGATTTATTTAACATCCGAGAAGCATTGAAGTTGCGATTACGCTCGATTTAATTACGATGTTACGTAATATTGTATATATGGTGAAATGTATTACTAAGCAATAACGAGTAAGAAAAGTACACAACTGCTTGCAACTGCATGAAACTACCCAAGACTATACAAAACTGCGTGAAACTATGTAAATCTATGTAAAACGATCTCTAAAACTACACAAACTGTATAAAACCGAACAAAGGTACATGAAACAAGACGAAGCTACATAAAACTGCTTGTAACTTCATAAATGTACACAAGACTACGAAACTACGTAAAACTGTGGGAAAACTGCCTCGAATTCTGTCGATCTATGTGAAACCATGTATAACACTTGATCTACGTGTAAGAAACTCGACTCGATCGACATCTATTGGCAATTCGAGCTGCGGCTTTAACAATTGACTTTTTCACCCACGCCAATCATCCGTATTGTACCTAAAACCACGCTGAATCCTACGTTGCAGATAATTCAATGTAACATTACGGAAATAACAATGTTCCCGAACGAAACATTTTCAAATATTCAAGGGACGAATCAAGAGAAACGCGGAAAGAAAGCGGAAACGCGCGGTTTATTGAAGTTAGTAAGTATCAGTTACCGCGCTCTCTCCGGGACGCGAGCGTATTCCAAGGGCTTCGGAGTTTCCGCCGAGCTGGAACGCGAACGGGACACAAGTCACCCAATACGCGTCTTGTGGGTGGCGATCTTGATGACGTTCGTTATCTTGTGCGTTTCGAAATCGTTGTTGCTGCACGAACGCGCGGGATGAACTGCGGTTTGCTCGTTATTACTCTGTCGCTAAATATTTTCTGCGCGAAGGAGATTCGATCATTTTTACCAGTGTTTGTTGAACAAATTTCTGTTCAACTTTATACTTCCAGAATGGAAATTGTGATCGGAACTGTGAATAACGTGGTTGTTAATGCCAACGCGAGTGACATGAGTGAAGTAAATGTTGATTAGAAGAATGTTAACTATTTTGTAACAAATGCAGCCTCGTGAGAAGAAACTATTTACACCCTCTGAATGAATTTTATTCACAGTTGCACCTCGTTCTATCTCCTTGCGATGATAATTCTATAGAAACTGTCGCAATCTCAGTAGAATTCTTCATTTCGTATTGCTTCGAGTTCTCGCTTTATATTTTCTATCGCAATAACGCATGATTATCATTGTGATCGTACAAAAACTGTCGCAATCTCAGTAGAATTCTTCATTTCGCATTGCTTCGAGTTCTCCGCTTACATTTTCGATCGCGTAAACGCATAATTACCACAAAAACAGTCGCAATCTCAGTAGAATTCTTCATTTCGCATTGCTTCAAGCTCTCCCTTTACATTTCCGATCGCAACAAACGCATGATTACCACTGCGACTCTACAGAAGCTGTCCAAGCTTCGATAAAATCGTGCTTCATCGAACCGTTCGCTCTCCCGAGCGAAGCGGCCGCCGAAACTCGCTCGCCGAGTGCAAAGGGTGAACATCCGAAGCGCACGAGGGTAGCGAGTACCAGCGTGCGGTTTCTGCCGGAAGTGGGCAGCGCCTGCGTGGAGCATGAAGTATATAGGAGAGCGTTTGCCGCTCGCCGCGTCACATTGCGTCCTCGAGAGCACGTCCTTCGTCTTCCTCGGACAAACCTGTCGCTGCGTCCGCCAGAACACCCTCGGTTGGCTGCTCGATCCAACGGGAACGCTCGCGAACCCGATCCACCGGTGACTCGCGCCGCAAGAGACCTGTTCCTTCGTTTCCTCCCGAAACCGATTCGAAAACTCCGTTCTCTTCGCTTCTGATCGCTCGAGAATATTCAAACTCGCGCGACAAACGGTCGGGACGGTGAGAGCGAGAGGAAACGTCGACGTTGGTATCATCGAAGCGGGAGGTGCCGTTTCGTCGAAGATTCGAGGATCGCCGAGCAGTTTTCCGGCTCGAAGAAGAGAAACTCGGTTCGAAGATCGAAGATAACGCCACGGATGCTGTAGGAGCCCGCGCGACACTCGGCTGAAGGCGCAGAGAGAAGGGCAGATGGGTAACGGAGTGATCCCGCTGGTGGTGGTGGCCATGGTGCCCATAATCGCGGGCACGATCGGGCAGCGCGCCCTCGGCAAGCGGAACGCGCCGGCCAGCCTCGACTATCCCGACTACTCCACCAAGTACGACGAGTATCCGGTGAGTAATGCTGAGATTTCTCGCGCGGGCTGACCCGGTTCGAAGGTTCTGCGATCGGCCAGCTGCCGGAACTCGCGGAATCGCCGAGCGGAATTGCACGCGGTTCTTGCGGCGGAGGCGAAGCCTCGGATTGCGTGGGATCGGTGGACATTGCTGCGTGACCTTTCGAGAATCTTGATAGGGTTGAGAATTGAGGGCTTGG